GCAGGGCCCCCCCGGCCGCCCACTCCCAACCACTGAGACGGGCACCCACAAGTCCCCCTCTCGGGCGTCCCCTCCTGCAGGCCTTTGCTTGGTTAGCCCTGGGGTTCCCACAGAGACTCCCCATTAGCTCTTGACGTTACTGGGCCCAGGATACACAGTAGAGAGTCCTGATTTGATCCACTAGGGGGCAGTGGAATAGGTACCTGAGCCAGGTCATTGCAGGAGCTGGAAAAAAGGGCCAAGCGTCGCCATAGGGCAGTGGCTTCGTCCCCTCCTGCAGGCCTTTGCTTGGTTAGCCCTGGGGTTCCCACAGAGACTCCCCATTAGCTCTTGACGTTACTGGGCCCAGGATACACAGTAGAGAGTCCTGATTTGATCCACTAGGGGGCAGTGGAATAGGTACCTGAGCCAGGTCATTGCAGGAGCTGGAAAAAAGGGCCAAGCGTCGCCATAGGGCACTGGCCACAGCTTGAGGCTCAGCCCTCCTGCAGGGGGGAGCTAGCACTGGTGCTCCCGCTGCCCCCCCCGTCTTCCCCTCCCCAGTGAGACTGGAGCACCGGGGGGGCCGGCTTCCCGCAGGATCCAACTCACAGGGGGAGCAAGCGGCTTCACGCACTGCCGCTCCCCTCCCCCTCGTCCCTCCTAGCACCCCCCATCTCACTCCCTGGCAGCCCCCTCCCACACACTCAACCCCTCATTTTTGGCCCCACTGCAGAGTCTGGGGGGGGGCCCCTCGAAAATCTACTCAGGTTTGTGTTGAGCGGGGTGGGCGTGAGAACCACTGCCCTAGGGAGCCACGCCCCGCCCTGGGCTAACGCTGACCCGGCTGGGCGGTGCCCCCAGGTGCAGAGCAAGATCCAGGCAGAACTGGATCGGACGATCGGCTTTGCGAGACGCCCCCAGCTCAGCGACAGGGAGCAGCTGCCCTACCTGGAGGCCACGATCTGCGAGGTCCTGCGCATCCGGCCGGTCTCCCCCCTGCTGATCCCACACGTGGCCCTTGCGGATGCCAGGTGAGACTTCTCCGGGCCCATCCCGGCCCTGTCTCTGTGGGCGGGGGGGGGCAGAGCGAGGTGCTGAATGGCTCTCTCGCCCCCCCTTGCAGCATCGGGAAATACACCATCCCAAAGGGCACCCAGGTCATCGTCAACCTCTGGGCCCTCCACCACGACGAGGAGGAGTGGGACCAGCCCGGGGACTTCAGGCCAGGTGGGTCCTTTTCTCTGCCCTCCTGGAGGAAACCTTGGGCTTGGAATCAGCCCCTGCCTGTGTCTGCCCCTGGGCCGGGGGGCAGCGCTGAGCCAGACCGGGCTGAGAGGGCAGGGGCAGGGGTTACCGGCACGAAAGGTTGGAGCTGGCTGCAGCCCAGCTCTCCTGCGGGGGGGGGAGGTGCTGCCCTCCCTGGAGTCCCTGGGCCACGTCCCAGGCGGAGGCCAGTGGGGGGGGCTGGGTGGAGCCTCGCGCCGCTGCTCCGCAAGCATCCAGAAGGGGGTGCTGATGAGCAAGGGGTCCAGCTGCCCTCTGTCCGGCCGCGTGGGCCCACCGGAGACCCGCCCCAGGTTGGCCAGCCGGGGGCTTCTTCCCAGGGGGCACAAGCTGTCGGGATCCGGGGGCAGGGGATGAACCCGAGAGGCTCCAACTACAGAGGCATCGTCTCGCTCCTTCACGTGGAGCCTGGACACAGCCGGGGGGGGGGCGGGGGACCC